CTGCTGGCACGTGACATAGCCCAGTGTAGCTCTTTCCCCAGCAGACGAGCTGACCATCTGCACGCACTGCACAAGTGTGCTGGGCCAAATATCCATGCCCCATTGAGACTGCAAGGAATGGTCCCATATCTGCTGGCAAATGATCCTGCCCATGATCCCCAGCTGACAAGCTATTCTTCCTCACTATACACTTGCTGGAAACTTGAACATTTCCGGAACGTGGTGAGAATGCAGGGGAAGTCCGAGCAAAAAACTGGACAAGCACCTGACACGGTGAAGCCTTGGCCGCGCGAAACGTGACTGACCTAGTGCGGAAACGCACCATGAGCCAGGACGGATCGCAAGAAACGACTGGAATGCAGTCCTTTGCGTCCAGAAGGCAAGTACCAGGCAAGCTTTCATGGCCATTCAGAGATGGGTGTAGGAAGCAATGTTCCAGGGAGGGTTCGGTTGAAGCTGAAAGACGGGCATCTAGACAAGTAAGTAGTTCATGCTATGCTACTAGTATCCTCCTAGTCGTTACGACCTGAATCAGGATCAGAAACCTTATTTCCATTATAGACAAATGATTAGAATAGACCATTTCCATTTTCGCGGGTTAGGGGTTGAGGGTGCTTGTCGGGAGTGCTTCAGGGTATGGGTTTATGGTGGGAGTCTTGGGTTGGAGTTGTGAAGGTTTTCGTGGATGGTTTTTCAGGATTGTTTTCTTGAGTTGGGGCTTTGGGTTGGGGATTGAGGGTTACATGGATGACTTTTGAAGATGGTTTCTTGGGTTGGGGCTAGGGGTTGGGGGTTGAGGGTTACATGGATGATTTTTGAAGATGGTTTCTTGGGTTGGGGCTTGGGGTTGGGGGTTGAGGGTTACATGGATGATTTTTCAAGATGGTTTTCTCGGGTTGGGCGTAGGGGGGGCTGCATGGTTAGAAAATAGAAATGGTCATCACTAACTAACTCTAAGCCCTACCCTAGACTCCTGAGCCCAGAAATCCCGGGTTTCGTATCGGTTTCTCCACCATGGCGTCAGTCTACCCTACAACTTAAATCTGAACCCCTTTTTGCTGCTGGACTCAAGTCTAGCCTAAATCCTAAACTCCGAATGCTACACCTTCTAAAACCCTCCATCCCCCAAATGTCCTACAAAACCAAAGTTCGAAGTGGCCAATGTCCGAGAACTCATTGGAGGGGAACGCATCCTTGTCAACCACCTGCCACGGAGGGTTCATTGGCTTCAGTGGCTTCGACCGTGCGGCTTCAGAGTTTCCTGGGCTTGCTAATGACGAGTCAAGGCTTTTGGAGTTTGGGCTTCGGACTGGCCTCAACAACCCGAATCGACTTGGCATCATGTGCTTCTCTGCTTCTTGTCGCTTCGTCTCGACACGGGCCCCGAAACCTCAAGCCTCTGCACACCCTCACAATCCTAAAACCAAACGTCTGAATGCTCGCCCCGAAGACCCTAAACCTCCAGCACACTCGCAAAACCGTAGGTGTTGTAAACGACAGTCCCTGACAACCTTCAAACCCTTCAGGTCTTAAGCATCTTAACTTAACCCTAAACCTGCAAGTCCTCAAAACCCAAACCTTTTACCTAAACCCAAACTTAAACCCCCAAGCCGCGCGTCCACCATCCAGGGAGTGGCTTAAAGTATTGAAACTACGTCGCAAACAGCATCCAAGAATAATTCTCAAACCTAAGTGGCTCCAGGCTTAAGTTAAGGGTTGAGGCAAGGCCTCGGGGCGCAATAAAAGAAAACCCAACGCCCAAGCCTCCGAAGCCCAACTGCACAGAATGCCCCAGGCCTTCACGCGGGTGCTGCTTCCGTAGCGGCCGAGCTGGGCATTCCTTGGCATCTCACCGTTTTTGTTACTTTTGGGGGGTCCTTTTCCAATGCGGCACAGGGTTGAAGTCCCTATGCTGGGGTGAGCCTGAGTGTGCGAGCTTGGTTTCGTGATTCAGAATAATTCCCACCTGGTCATTAGCCGGCTAAGACTTTAGTACCCTCTGAAAACCAACCTTACAAATTGTCCTTTGGACTACAGCTCTAAACCTGCAGGGCGGTAAGAACAAGCTGCAACCCTCACTTCCATGACAGGACGCCGTCGATTCTCGGCATGGCGGGTGGTACTACCGGACAGTGAGGTGGGCATTTGTTCCGGTTTCTGATCACCTACTGCCCAGGCAACATGCCGAATGATGATTTCCTGCGCATCAGAGAACTTACGCGGAGTAGTCGGGATGCTACAAGTCTCCACAGTGTGAAGATCAGTAAGCCCAGTAAGCCTTTCTAGTTCCTAGTTCCTAGTGCCGCTCCCATCGGGCCACAGTGCTGCCGGGTCACACCAAGCCGTCCTCTTTGAGCATCACGCCGAAGTCGAGAATGGAAGACCAGTTGTCGTTGCGTTGCAAATGCACCTGGGTTGAAGGCTCAGAGGTTTAGGGGTCCGAATATGTAACCAAAACATTCGCTTGGAGCTCCTATGTCATCATAGCAGCACAGAGCCAAGACCATGCTCTAAGTACTCAGCGACTTTGACTTGCCTGCTCGCAGAAAGCACATGTGCAGCAATTCCGGGCACTTTCAAGGTTTGAGGGTTTATCTCATCAACTAGGCACCGCCAGGGTTTGGGGCTTTGGGGCTTTGGGGCTTTCAGAACCTTCAAGATGTGCTGTCTCCTCGTCAACCTGCAAAAGCTCAGGGTTGTGGATTTCTATTCTCGAGGCTCGGACCGCTCCATGTGATTGGGGTTTTTATGGTTGGGGCCTGGTGGAAAGATCGGTGCCTGCGCCATCGCTTGCAGCCTGAACTCTGAAATGGCTTTATGCCTCTATGTCTCAAAGCTTCCGCTCCAAAACGCGTTACCCCAATGTCAGCTAATGCACCAGGATCTGCTTCGCACCGTCCCCAGGCCCGAAATGGAGCGTGCCCTCGGCGTGCTCGAAGATTTGGCTGGCCTTCCGTTCAACGGACGGATTACTTTCATCGACACAAAAAGCGAAACCACCTCATCGGTAGCGTGCCGTCATCACTGACAACCGACATTTGCCATACATGGTAGCGATGCAACTGATCTGCAACTCTTGTGGTTGTCCCAACTGGTGCGACTGCTGTGGCTCGAATTCGATTGCGAAAACCGCGGTATCAAGGCCGGGCTTGAAAAAATGGTGCTGATGCTGACGACCATGATGATGATGATGATGATTTTGCCTCCCGATGATGTTTTATTGACGGGCTCAACTGCAACTTTGTTATGAAAATGCTCAATTGTGCGGATGAGTAGTAGTTTCCACTGCTACGACGACGACGACGACG